ACAGTCTTAGTCTCTACCTAACTCAGCCAAGCGTGGGCAACCGGAGGGGGTCCTGGGGAAGTCTGTAATCATGAGGAAGTGGGCTGTGGCAGTTCCAAGGGTACTCTGTTGCCAAATTATCTGGTAAAGACACTTAAAGATAAGCATTATCAAGAGAAACAAAGCAAGTCATGGCGTAGGACAAGTTGAAATACTTCTGAGACCATGTACCTTTTAGCTGATTAGCCACTTGTCTGAAAGGCAAAGAGGCTGACTGGCAATGAAGCCAAGGAACTGGGTCCTTCACCTCAGATGGATATAAATAAAGAGAGGAATTTTGTCTCATGAACTATTGTCCATGGACCGTCATGCTAGTCAGTCAAATCCTGGCCTACCCACTTAAGGTTTTTTTGCAGGCACCCATATGGGGTCTGAATCTCCTGTAGGGTAGACACAGCCAAAGCCTTAACCCATGGTTAGCAATGGATCTGGGCCTCTCCATTGCCCCGTAATGGGGTCCTTCCATTTTAGCCGCACCTCAGGTCTCTGCTCCTGTCGTCCTCAATGCTTCTGAAACTGGGATTCCAACTGATTTTTTTTGAAAATTAAGAACATTAATAGTGAATAAGGCCATACCCAACCGTTGGTGGGGGCTTATTCCCCCTTTTTGTTTTTGTAATTGAATTTTTAGGTTTTGATGGTTGTGTTGTATAATGATTTGACCTAGGGGATTGTAGGGAATTCCTATATTGTGTTGAATTCCCCAAAGTGAAAAGAAATCTTATAAATTTTTACTCACAAAACATGGTCCAGTATCAGTTTTAATTCTTTGGGGCAATCCCAACGTACCAAAGCACTGGAGAAAATGAGACTGAGCATGTTTAGACTTCTCTCCTGTATGAGTGGTAGCCCAACAGGCATGTGAGAATGTGTCGATGGACACAAAAATATACTTAAGATTTCCAAAAGGAGCATAGTGTGTGACATCCGTTTGCCACAAGGAATTGGGCTTGAGTCCCCTAGGGTTTACCCCTAGCTGTTGTAGAGGTGGTACCTGTAGAAAGGGTTACAATCTTCTTTAGGTCCTTGATGGGAACTTGAGGAAACCTCTTATGGAGTCCCCGCCAATTTACATAAGTGAGGTTATGTAACCCCTGAACTTCATTCAGGCCTGCTGACAGGACCTGGGTGGAAGCCACCTTGTCTGCCTCTGCATTCCCTTGGGATAAAAGCCCAGGCAACCCTTGATGCCCCCTAAGATGCTGTAAGAAAATAGGGGCTTTTTTCTCTTTAAGGAGCATAGGAGTCTGAATACTGTCAGAAAACAATGGCCATGAGTTTCTTGAATTGAGCTGAGCAATCACAAGTGTGGCCATATCTTTTTGGTTTTTCATCTGCCCCTGGGTATACTACTGCTGCAGCTCCAAATCTGTCCCCGTCAGTGAAAACATTGTAGGCTTTTACTAAGGGCTCTCTTGGCCCCGGGATTCAGTGAGTGCTGCTGCTGCTGGGGCTGTAACATTTGGGGGCGGGGTGGATCCTCCACTGCCGAGGAATGGTCGGGATGCCCCCCTCCTCAGCCACCTTCCCTGAGCTGGGTCTTCCCAGCTGTCCCAGAGCTGGTCGTGGCACACCGCCAAGGGTATTTTTTTTTTTAATGTGCCTGGCAGCTGCCGCCAGCCACCAACCAGGGGGCAGTCCCCTGCCCAGCTTTTGTGCGGGCCCCTTACTTGCATACACATTAGTTCAAGGTGGGTCAGGTGGGTGGCTTTCGCAGCTAACCCCGTGCACTCCGTTCTGCCCCACCCTTCTGAAAAAGACATCCATGGGTCCTGTTTTCATAGGTCCCGGGAGGCCCTGAAACTGGCCAGGGCACGCCGAGGTGCCGCTTATTTTGGCTGCTTTTGGTTTCACGTCTGTTGCATTTCTGCCTTCTTCCTCAAACTCTTCCCATGATTTTTATGTATCCCCAGTAAAAACATTATCCCCAAGGAGCCAGGGAGCCAAATGAATCGCCTTTGCCCAAACCTTTTGAGCTACCAGATCTGACAGATCCAGTCCCCTGCTTTTAAGCATATCTCTGAGCACTTTAAGCACCGGGTCCTCAGGCTTATTGATTGCGTTACCCATCTTTCGAGTCTCACTTACCCTGAACTTCTCGATTGGCCCCAATCTGTTATTTTTCTTTCTTTCTTTCCTTCTTTTCACCTTCCTTCGAGCCCCATGTTGGGCACCAGTTTCTGGGGGTTCGAGCCAGTGACCCCACGCAATGATGATTGGGGATGAGTAAGCGAGCTGTTCGCCAGCCCCCCACCCCCAGTACTGGGAACACTCAGGTGCAACGGGGAGCCTAGTCAAGCAGGGACTCATTTCTTGCAGGTGTTACAGAGCTTATAAAGGCACCTGGAAATCCCCCTCCCCACTGAGGGTGTATCTTAAGGATGGTCATGTGCTGATCATGCACTCCTTAGCAGTTCGGAAGTATTCAGACTTTCAAAGCAAGTCAGGCTGCACCCTGGTAACTTCCTCTCAGACTTCTGTAAGGTGGGGCCTTTAGGTCTACACACACATGCTGAGGAATGACATTAGGAAAATATTAGTAACCATTATTTACCATTATTTTCCTTTCTTTTTTTTTTTTTGTTTTTTTGAGACAGGGTCTCCCTGTAGCCCCAGCTGGCCTGGAACTCACTATGTAGACCAGGCCGGGCTTGAACTCACAGAGAGCCACCTGCCTCTGCTTCCTGAGTGCTGGGATTAAAGGAGTGAGCCACCACACCCAGCTTCTCCTCTCCTTTTTAATTTTTTAAATTAAAAAAATATTTTATTTTTATTTTATGTGCATGAGTGTATTACCTGTATGTATATAAGGGCCCCCGTGTTGTGCAATGCCATGGAGGTCAGAAGAGGGCTTTGGATTCCCCTAGAACTGGAGTTCAGGACTGTTTGAAGTCGCCTTGTGGGTGCTGGGAATCAAACCCAGGTCCTCTGCAAGAGCAGTGCTCTTAACCACTGAGCCGTATCTCCAGCCCCCTCTTTTTAATTTTAATTTAATTTACTTTTTACTTTTTTTTTGGTCTTTTTGAGACAGGTCTCCCTGTAGCCCCAGCTGGCCTGGAACTCACTATGTTAGACCAGGCTGGGCTTGAACTCACAGAGACCTGCCTGCCTCTGCCTTGTAAGTGCTGGGATTAGAGGCATGTAGGTAAATCACTCTTGTTTATATTTTCTTGAGACACGGTCTTTCTATGTAGCCCAGGCTGTCCTCAAATTCACAATTCTCTGGCATCACTCTCCCAATTAATCAGTGCTAAGACTAAAGGCATGCAACACTATGCCCAGCTAAATTACTCTAAAAAGAATAAATAAAAAATAATGTTTCCCCCTTCAAGTTTAAAAAATAATTTTTAAAAAGGAGCAGAAATAGTGAGGGCTTAGCATGTGACAGGGACTTGTGAGAACCTTGCAGGCTCCAAGATAGGCTTTATAACCATCTCCTTTTACAGATTCAGAAGTAAAGATTCAGGAGCTCAGTGTTTCCAGTCAGAGTTGGTTCTTGGGTCCAGTCCACAGTGCCTCACTTCCAGGGGCAACAGTGGTAGTGTTGCTCGAAGTTTAATTAAAGCATCAGCTTCCAATAAGACCTGAGTTTGAATCTTCATTTCAGCCACCAAGAAGTAGCTCCCTCTTTTCCTCAAGATACTTCAGCAGTAAAATAAAAACAAAAATGCCATAGGACCTCTGGGAGGACAAATGAGATAGAGCCCAAAAAATCCTGTGAGTTTCCCAGACCTGTCTTGCAGAGCACCCTTATACAGTAGTTGCTGAGTAACACACAGAACCACAACTGGCCAGTGTGCAGAGAATGAGAGGCTGTAGACTACTTATCCCTGAACAGGACAGCTAAATCAAACTGCCTCCCAAGGCTCAGGGATCATCGTATAAGAGGGGGAGGAAAGATGTAAAAGCCAGATGAGGTGGATGACCATAAGGAAACATAGTTTTCCAGACAGCTGGGCAGTTGCTCTTATGGAACTCACAGCATGGACAAGTCCCACATAAGCTCAAGCCAGACAAAATCCCAACACAGACATGAGGAAGTGGGTAATAAACCCCAACCCTATCTGAGGAAATATTCCCAGTCCCAGTCCATGACTGCTGGGAAGGGGACATTCTTAGTAGGTTGACCTGGCTTCAGTGAATGAACCCACACCGAATGGCATTTGGGGACACAAACCTGACTCTATAGGCCTTGGTATATATACAAATATCTATTAGAGTACAGAAATTTGGTGGAGGCTAGTAAGAGGGTGTGCAGATACAGGAGGGGATCTAAACATGATCAAAATATATTGTATGAAATTTGAAAAAATTCAACAAAAAATAATTTAAAAATTCCTGTGAGAGAGGTCTAGGCAGAATTCTGGTGTGCATGTAATTTATGCTTTCCAATGATGGACTCTAGGTCCCCAGAGATGCAGACTTAATTCCTTTTATTTCCTGGGTGTGAAATCCCAGAGGTCTTCAGCATGAGGAACGCCCTGTGGGGGTCGCCTGTGACGGAGGAAGAAAGGACAAGAGTTGTTCAGGGTGGTCGAGGTGAAAGATACAGATCTAGGGGCTAGGGAAGGACAGGGCAGTTGGTGGGCGCCTCAAAACTTCCTGTGTCCAGAGGGCACAGAGGAGAGGTGGACCTCTTGCTTTGTACAACCCCAATGCTTGGTTCGCCAGGAAGGATGCTGCTGAGATGTGCGGAGGTTAATAAGGTCTACTGCACCCAGTCTCCTTAGGCCGGCCAGTCTTGGGATCCCTGGCCTCATGGCGTTTTCCAGGAGTTAAGAGTTCTGGGGTGTGCAAGGGGCAGACTCGGCCTGGGGCACTGGTGCTTCCGAGGGCGCCCACGTGGAGCTGGTGCCCTTCCCGCCCTCCGCTTCTAACGCGGACGCTGCGACCGTTCTCTGCTGCCGGCCTGGCTTGACCTTGACGGCTCAGAGCCGCCAGCATCCTGCTGGCTGCTCGGCAACGGCGCCGCCCCTCCCGCAGACGCGCCTAGTTCCGGGAGATCCAGGCAGGGTTTTGCAGCGGAGCTGTTGGGCTGCGTGTGCCGATTCCTCTCCGCGAGCCACGCCGCAGTTGGCTGCTGGAGATCATGGTGCTGGACGAAGCATGGACCGCTCTGTCGGGAGCCTCCGGGGTAGCCCTGGCCTGCTGTTTGTTGGCGGCAGCCGCGGTCCTGCGCTGGTCCCGGCGTGGGGTGGCCCGAGCGGCGGCGGCCAGAGCGCGGCAGCGGCAGAGAGCCAGCCTGGAGACCATGGACAAGGCGGCGCAGCGCTTCCGGCTGCAGGTGACTGCGAGAGCCGGGGTTGGGGGTAGGGGGGACATGCAAGGAGAACACAGCATGGACATTCAGAGGGCCGGCGGTAGGCAGTGCAGATGTGAGCCTGAACAGAACCTCCCCTCACGCTAAAGCATTCTGCACTCTTTCTGAACCAGGTGCAGGGGGAGGAGAAACAGAAACGAAAGGGACAGGACAGGTCATGGAGGGAGGTTCATTGCTTCACTGGTCTAAGAGGAGCTTTGCTTTGAGCCAAAGAATCTATCAGAACGCCAGAACGCTAGTGTGAGAACCAATAGAATACTAGGGTTTAGGACTTTGGAATCATGGAGTGATGCGATGACCCAAGACATCAGTGGCCCAGGACACCCTGAGAGCATAAAGTTCATGCTCGTTGATGTGTGCTTGAGATCTTAAGAGAGGTGGAAAAAGACTTGCCCACGTGCACAGGGAATAGGGGCAAAGCCCCCCCTAGTATGCAGCTCTTCCCAGTTCCTGCTGCTCAGTCTGTCATGGCCAAGACCTGGCAAACCCTGCTGTGAGTAGGTTCAGTCTCACCCTCCTCTAGATGATCTGTCAACAAGCTTTTCTTCTCCCTGCACTGCCTTGGATATTTCAGTGTGTATGTTTTAGGGTTGGGGGAAGGAGTTTGGGGGAGGAAAGAACAGGCAGGACAAGAAGGGGGCTTTCTCTCCAGGTGTATGAAAAACTGGCTTCAGAAGCCAGCATGCTGAACTCTAGATGTTCTTATGTGCTGAGGAAGAGGAGTTGCTGTGGGTATTCCCGTGGGATCTGACAAGTGTTAAGACATCCCGGGTGATGGAGTTAGGAAGGTGCTCCTGGGCATCAGGGAGGGGCCATTTAGCCTTTAGGAGGTGCCCAGTTGCAGCAAGTGACTTTTGAGCTGGAGCAGAGCTGGAACCAAAACTAGATGCTTAGTAGGACCCTAGCTCAGGGCAGTGGAGAGGAGCTGGGGACAGAGATTAGGGAGACTGGGCTTTGAATGCCAGGCCCAGGCTATGGCCAAATGTGAGTGAAATTTTGACTTGCTATAATTGTTTCAGTTTATTCCCCACTATCTCTAAGATGAGGGTCTACCTTAAGTATTTATTGAAATAAAAAGTATTTCCTGCTGGGTGTGGTGGCACATGCCTTTAATCCCAGCACTCTGGAGGCAGAGGCAGGCAGATATCTGAGATCAAGGCCAGCCTGGTAGCTAGCTGTAGCTACAAGGAGACCATGTCTCAAAAGAAAGGAGAAAAAAAAAAAATTCTGGTTCCAGCCTCCATTCATCAAACTGTCTGAAAAGCCTGCCATCAGTCAGTGTTTAGGGCTGTCTCCTCACAAGGTCCTGGTGTTCAATTCAAATGGACCACCTCCTCTACTCAAGCACAGTTTCTATGCTGACTACCCTTCTTGATTGTGCTCTGGTGGTGCCCCTCTCAGGGATCCTTGTGATGATCCTGGGCTTAGCCTGGGGAGCCTCAGCTAGTCCTGGTGTCCTTCTGTGCAGCCAGCTGAGTTCTGCCAGCTCCAGCACAGCGTGGGGAGCAGGCACAGGAATCTGCCCACAGTTCCTGCCTACGGGAAAGACTAGTCCTAGTCATAAGGAATCCGTTTGGCTGGGAGGATTGGGGGCTGGTAGAAGGCTGGTCTTCCTGCTTTTCTTCTTTCCATTCCTTTTACAGTAGTTGGCCTTCAGTCTTTTTAAGAACTTTTGGGACAGAAGTTTTGGCTCTAAAATACAAAAAGCTGTTTGTATATTTTACTGGAGCCTGAGACCTGGCCTTAAACACCAAGCTTGGTTTTCTTCAGGAAGGAAAATTACCTTTTAGGTTTCAAGGATAGAAGCCAAAGGAGCCTCTGTGGTTGTTTTGCTTTTTTTTTTTGGTTTGTTTAATATATTTATTTTATGTGTGCGAGTGTTTTGCCTGCCATGTATATGTGTCCATGTTATTCAGTGCCTGTGGAAGGCAGAAGAGGGCATCTGATATCTTGGATCTAGAATTATGGATAATTGTTAGCTGCCATGTGGGTGCTGGGAACTGAACCTTGGTCCTGTGCAAGAGCAGCCAGTGCTCTTAATTGCCCAAGGGCCTTTGTATACCTGGTTTTGTTTACTATCTCACATATCCCCTTGGTAAAAGCCCACTAGTCCTGAAAATACCTCTTCTTTTGTCTGGATCCACTGTGACTCTGTCTCCTGGCTTTCTCCAAACTTCCTTTGTACATTGTTCTTTGAAATGATTCCTTGGATGAGTTGAGAGTGTGGTTACCATTGAGAATAGCTTCAGCTATCTATGTAATCAAATAGAAGAGGTATCTTGAAATAGAACAAAAGAGATAAAAACAGGGAGAGAAAAGAGAACAACCCAAAAGACCTGAAATTAGGACAACAGATGGTCCAGAGGAGAAACAAACAGTTGGAAGAGGGCAGTGTTTAAAAGATAGGTACAGCCGGGCGTGGTGGCACACACCTGTAGTCCCAGCACTTGGGAGGCAGAGACAAGGGGATCTCTGTGAGTTCAAGGCCAGCCTGGTCTACATAGTGAGTTCCAGGACAGCTGGGGCTACAGGGAGACCCTGCTTCAAAAGACAAAAAAAGATTTTATTTATTATTTTTATTTTATGTGTGTGTATTGCCTGCA